ATGAAGCCCGTAGTCAGCTAAAGGGCTAATGATACCTATCAAAACGCCTGCCATTTGATATAAATAAATAAAATAAAGTTGCAGAAAATGGATTCCACCAGTGAGTGGCTCAATATTCCTCTTATTATCATTACTATTATCAAGATAAGTGTCGATTAACCATTCCTGTCGAAAATTTTAGAACTTATAAATGCCCGCTTTTGTTTATTGAAATGGCCTCCTGTAAGAACATACTATGTTACCATTGTCTGTTTTCTTTTCTACTTTCAAAAAAAGAGAGAGACAGTGGTTCTCTCTACCTCTGATTTCTACTTCAAGTTCTTTTCGCCAATGAAACCTATTGGGATGTTGGAATATCTTGAATATTCCTCCATCTGTTTTGGCAATTGAAGTTGTCTTCCAGAACCACATGAATCAGATGTCAAGGCAAAACTCCCAATTAATAGAATGACTTAACCTTTTTTCCTAGTTTACTACTTAAATATGTTCGAACTGGGAGATAAGCAAATTCAAGCCTTATATTTCATTAGTTAACACTACAAATTTTTCAATTTATTCATTTTAATAAATTGTATTATAATTTGCCGACCCGGCTTAATAAATAATTTCTCACCTCAAAATATTTCAAAAATAATTTCCTTTCCCGAGGATCTTCTGGTTTTGGACCATTTTCCTCATTTGCTGTTTCGGAATCTGTCCTCTCGGGGGTGTTAGATATCTCCTCAGAGTTATAATAATCCATGACCACGTTGGGCACAACTAGGATATCATTTTGTGACAAAAGATCAGTCAGTCTGCGCATGTTAACTTTAGGTTTGATGCTTTGTCGTTTGGATCTCCTTCGAAAGCAGGAGCAGAACAGGTCTTGGAGACGACTTTTGTGCCCTGGAGTTTCTAGAAGTGAAGCGAGTTTCCATATTTTAAATCCATTTACAAAAAAAGTAATTATAGTGCTCTACTTAAATATATAAGTAGGTAAATATTTAGACCAGTTATTCTACTTTACCTACCGAATAAATTGGAATGAGTAGATTCAACATTTATGTGCACATTACTTTCTTTCATTCCGACAACTTTTTTTTTATTTTAACCCACAGGCAAAATTTAGGCGTCTTTCAATGATTGCTCCAATTTTGTCAGTTGTGCATGACTAAATGGTCAATCAGCTGATTTACAAATTTTATCGATTCGTTTTTCAGACGAGGAGATAGACACTGAATTTCAATTTGGCTATTTAAAAGAGTCATTTGGGAAGAAAGTTATTCCTTGAAACTCTTTCACAGCACTCGAGTAAGGCCTCGATTACTTCCAACACTTCTTTATCATGCACTGATAGAGCATCTTAGCACTGCAAATGTCGGGATGGAGCTATTAAATGCAACTCTACTAAACTTTTGCACTTCAAGATGTCAGTCTTTGTTTGCTATTAAAAATAAATTAGAATAAGCTTGTGAAAGAAGAGATTTTGAAAACACATATGAATTCAGAACTGCGCTGAAGTATAACCGGCATCAATACTTAGAGCACTATACTAGACAAACGTCTCTCCTATTACCTTCAATTAAGAAAATTTTGCAATTTCATTCACCCCTGTCTCCAATTGCTTTACATTCTCCAGACTTACTACGTGCTTGCATTTAATAATCGATAAAATCTCACCTTCAGTTTACCGGCTCAAAGAAATGACCCGCTTAGATATTACGTCAAAAGCATGCTCCAAACGGTTTCCCCATTAGCTCGCATTTGAAATATATTTATTTAATTATATCAAATGGCAGGCGTTTTGTTAATTATCATTAGCCCTTTAGCTGACTTCGGACTTCACAGAAGGGAGGAACATCAAAGTGAAAAAAGTCGAGATGAGGAGCTGAAGAGTGATTCGAAGATGTAAAAGAGACAGACAGCCACAAAGGTGGAGAAAAGGTTAGATGAGTACTGTGAAAGTGGTAGAATGTGACCTACAGTGGGACCATTGTAGTTTGAGATCAGAAATCAACTGCTGGTTTATAGACTTTTTGCCGTATGAATAAACGTTGCCCAGGGTGCACCACGTGGAGGTAAGTCCATCACACACCCCTGTTTAAAAAAGTATTGGAGGTTACTTTGACTAGACAATTGTAGAATATATGTCTTCTGCTTATTGTATTGGCAAAATAAGTTTGACAGGGAGTTTGTATTTTCACTATTATCTTTTACAAGTATGAAAACAAATAAAATTAGGGAATTCCGCTCCTTTATCCCATTTACTCATCTAAAACGAAGTATTGCATTATCTTGTTATCGTGTATTTCACGCATCTGTTCACATTTATCTAATAGGATTTACTCGAACTGACCAATCACATCCTAGAGACATCGATCAATATTTCAAGTCTTAGGAAATAGTAAATGAGTGTTCATACAAATAAATAAGCATATTCTTCCATGGATTGCTAATATTTAGGTAACTAAGAGGCTACTTCGCTTCACCCAAGAACCCCCCTCCCCCCCTCACCCTCAAAGGAATTAATCACCCACAGGGCGAATAAGTTCCCGCTTTGATGATAAATGACTGAACATTTGCGTGTTAGGGTCACACTTGTGGCATTCCCTAGGACATGACAAATGACTCGCACTACACAAAGCATTCTGGAGAGTTGAAAACGCCACTTGAACAGAACAAAGGGAACGCTCTATTCCAATGCATTGAAAAAAAAACCATTCCGGTTTTGTTTCTTGTAAAGTGAGCAAAGGTTGCACGCGTTCTGCCCTCAATTATCATAAACCATGATTTAAGAAGGTAAGTGGAACTTTTCCAAGTATTGGAGGGTCAGATTACTTGAAAATGTTGAACAATAAGAAGGTCTCTGTGAAGCCACTCCAATGTTTTAAATGCAACTAATAATGATATCTGACCAGAATGTTGTCACATGTGCCACACATTGGAAATTGACTACTGGAGAATGGCGACTGGACGTGTTTGTGCGTTATGATGACAGCATCTCCCATAGACTCATTTTTTGATAAATTGAAGAGCCCTTTCAACATTAATTTTCGGACCCAAATCGACCTGGCAACTACAGTCACACCACATTTCTCTTCTGGTCTCTTCATTTCCAACTAACCCGTTTCCTCGTGAGAAATTAGAAGGCACAAGCTCCATTCTCAAAGTTACTACTTCCTTAGCAAATCCTACTCTTTTGCAATCCTAAAATTGGTCACTTACGTGAAAGATATGTGTTGCTATCTAACTAGAATAGGATAAAATGTACTAAATAATGTTGCATTATCTTAAAAGATCCCTGGTTATTAGTTAATAATAATAAAAATGGTAATCGAGTATTGCAATAGTTTGCCGAAAATTTCAGTGAATAAAAATGATTGCCCTACTAGGTTAGTTGGCACGTAATCTGACTTGTTTACATTTTTTAACATTATTATTATTTCAAATGGCAGGCTTGTGATATTTATCATTAGCCCTTAAACTTTGACTTCATCTTCCCCCATGGGTGGGGGGCACATTTACAACAGTTAATTAATAGCAGTTCATTAGCTGTCTTCTTGCTTCCCAGTATCTCTGGCTTTCCGTCATTGTCTTTAGGGCTGGACATCGAATCAGGTATGTCTTCTCCATTTCCTCATGTAGGTTACATAGAGGGCATGTGGGTTGAGTGTATACTCCCAATCTGTGAAGAGGTTTTGCCAAGCAATCGTGTCCGGTACGTAGTCTAAACTCAGCAACGGCTTCGATTCTTGGCCAGTCGGCTATGTCGGAGAGTGCCACTGTCCACTGTTTCTCTTTTGTTCAAGCTTTAAGTTCGTTGCACCTTGAGGTCTTGAATTCTCTCCTGATTAAGGTCTTCATTGTGTGGAAAGACATAACAAATGGCAGGTGTTTTGATGGTTATCATTAGCCCTTTAGTTGACTTCAGGCTTCACAGAGGGGAAAGAACATCAAAGTGAAAAAGAGTTGAGAGTGGGGGGAGGGAATAGAAGAGTGTTTCAAAGACAAAGGTAGATAAGGTGGAAAAAAGGTGAGGTGAGTATTGTAAAAGTAGTCGATTATGACATTCAGTGAGGTGATGGCAGTTTGAAGTCAGAAGTCAACTGCCAAGTAATAGACTTTTTGCCGTATGAATATACGTTGCCCAGTGTGCACCACGTGGAGGTAAGTCTATCACACACCCCATGATACCTATCATAACGCCTGCCATTTGAAAACACACCCCACATTTTTTTAACATAAATAAAGTTCAAATCGTTTGCGCCGTTTGCAGTCTAACTTCGAACATTGATTCCAGTCTTTTAAAGAGCTCAGTTAAGTCAACGTTGAACTCTTAGTGTCTATGACGATAATTTGTCCTAACATGATAATTTGATTGAATAATTTTCAGCACCACGTGACGATTTGCTCTGAAATTTGCTAAAATAATGGATTAAGTATTATACTTACAAAAATATTCAGATCCTGTTTAGTGATAAGGTCCGACAAAAATTCGAAAAAAATTGTTACTAAGTTATTTGCTCCAAAGTATCGTAATAACTGTATGAAAATATGAAGTTAATACTTCATTGAAATTGGCATCCATTGCCAACTTTGAACTATACTTGTTACTGATATGTATTAAGTAGAGTCGCACTATTAGGCAATCTGTGTACAAAGAATCTCTATTTACCAGGGGACTTTTGAGCAACATTAACAAATACCAGATAGATACATATAGTTCCGCTTTCGAAAACATACATATCGTTAGCCAATGAGAGACTGACCCACTTATCCAGCTAATACATAAGCGCCAAAGTTAATCACAAAGAACTAAAGAATACGATTTTGATAACCACTAATCAATGCGTTACAAAACCATCTTTCCCGCGAACGGCACAATTCGAAGCTTAACTCCCAAGAGATAACATAAAAAATATAACTTTATTTGAAAAGAAAATATTTATTAAAAAGGCTGACTTTAGTTACGTTGTTATATGCGAAAATTTGACGATGTAAAATCTCATAAGTTATCGCAGTTACTTCTTGGAAGATTTTTTAATAATTTCCTTTGCATTTGCAGCAGCTGCCTTACTCTTTTCGTGCTTAGCGAAAAAACGGTTAACAAGAACAGATTTTCGCTCAGAATAGGCGATTCCATGATCTTGGCACCAACTTCGCAGTTCACGTAGATGGGCTAATTTATTTTCCATCGCTTGGGTGACATAGGGCTATGAATAAAGAAGAGTAAAAACTTAAAAAAAACACTTCAATTCAAAATATGCAAGGAAATAGAAAACACACCTCTTTAGAGCGTTCGTCAAGGCTATTCCAAGCTTTAGAAGCATTGCCCAACTTTGCTTTCATATCCTCCAAATTCTTCCCTTTATTTCCAGTAAGCTGCTCGTGGATATAAACTTGGTAACCGGTGACTGCTATAGGTCGTGGAAATCCATTCTTTCTAGCTAACTAAGAAAAACACATGGAATTAGATGGTGACTAAAACAATTATTTGCTACTATAATAAGAAAAAAACATACCGTTAGCTTTTTTCGATCGTCCATTTTCTCCTTTTCTGACTTGGGAGTAGGCAGAGTTATATTCGAAGTTAGCTTCTGAAGCTCTTTTGTCGGTGTAGCTTTATACATTTCACTAAGTTTCTTCATTATTTCAGTCGATTTAAGTTCTGGATATTTTGATTTTACATCAGTGAAATGCAATTTGACAAATGCCGGGAACACGGGAGTTTTACGAACTTCTGTAACGAGCAATCGATTAAAATTCTGGTTATTAGTAGAAATTCTATAATTATATTTAATAAAGTGAAATAAATTAACGAACTTTAAAAGTGATAACCCATGAGATAGTTTCAGCATCTTTAGTAAGTTTAGCGAAAATCGAAAAACCCAAATTTCCTCAATGGTATTAAACACATACCGCGAAGGCCATATTGCGAAAATTCTGTAGATTTTAACATGCTCATGAAACTTATGATAAATTAAAAGTTTTAACGTTTGCATGAAATGCCATTTCTTGTTTACCGTTAGTTTAAAATTTATCAGGAAGATTCGCAAAATTCATATCTATGGTAGTTTAAGGTAAAACCGTAAACTATAAAATATTGGATCTTTGTAAAAGGTAAAAACAATATTTCTTCCAATGTCACTCTAAAATAATGATTCTTACCACTGTTTAATTTCCTGTAATGTACATCTCTTCACAAATCTTGGGGATACAACAAATCTGACAAACCCAAATTTTTATCTATTAATTATAGTTATTGTAATTTCAAGCATTTACTATATCTCCGTGTCTTCTTGACTTATAGTATTTTGAAAAAATCACTTGTATGATATAGCTTTTTAACCGTATTAGGATTCAATTTTTCTAATAGAGTATCTGATATACTTTTCATACTAATGAATCACTTAACAGAAGTAATATTTTCATCTGGCTTACAATGAGTTCTTTTTAAGCAAGCATTTTAACCCAAATCAAGTTATTTTGTTTAGAATTTACTGTTATGGCAACACCTAAGGCTCTCGGTCAAAATTTCAAGGACGATGTCGAATATGAGATCTAGGAATTTGTACGAGGCGTTGATGATCAAAAATAGAATGGCTGAAAGTAAAAGACAGAATGATATTAGAGAAAATCAAAAATATTTTCGCGATTCAGCAATAAAGGCTAGACAAGAAAAGAAGTGGACATCAGACAACTATTTTAACAATAGGTATCTTAAGGTTAGGAATGAACTCAAAATTTAGCATGATTTCTTTTCTCATGTCAGACAAAGATGCGATAAATGAAAAACTCAATTTAAAGAGGGAGAAACTGCGCAATTTACTTAGGGAAGAATCGAAGTTTTATGAGGTATTTTCTTCATTCTAATAATTTGTAATAAATTTAGTACGCTTTTAATCAACAGTCAGAAAGAACCAGTTCTCCATGCTCTAATTCAGACGTTATATTTAAATATGAAGACGACTCAGTACAAGTATTTGCATTTAAGCTCTTGTGTAGATCTTACTTTAGGATGAATGCATTGAACCAACTCGTTATGAAATGGATTCAACGGCATATACGAATGGCAAAGCAGATCTAAAGGTTTGTGGTATTCTCTCGTTAAATTCATCTTATTAATTCGGTTTGAATTTTCGCCTTTTTATTTCACTGCTTAGGTGGATCAAGATAACAATCTTAAAAAATCTTTCTCGAACTCTGAAGTTTCTGGTGATATTCGCTCTGAAATTGAAATAAATGAGCATACTTTGGAGCAGAAAATGGAAGAACTCAGAAATTTCGATGCTGAAGTAACCTAATTTTAGTTATTTCCGTTTTTACTTAATTAATTTATTCATATTTTTTAATGTGGGTTTAGTCGAATTCTTGACTAGAGTTCCTTTAGGAAATTCTCTTCCTTTCATTTTTATATTTCTTAACATGTGATATATTAATTAATTGTTACTATTATCTATCACCATATTCATTCTTAGTCTAAAGAACTGGATAATATTGAAAGAGAAATATTGGATCATCAACAAAAGACAAAATGTTTGATAGAGGAAAGGAAAAAAATAGCTGAATCGCGACTTCAAAGGCGTTTCGAGAAAATGCTTATTCGTCGGCAAGTTGCTGATCTAAAGCGTCGTTCACGCCAAATCCAAGACGATCTCACTTATGATCTAGCTTGGTTAGATCACCTTCATGAGTTGGAAGGTGAAGAAGAAGGAAGTCAGCTTAATGATGTTAAAAAAATACTCGAAGAGGTACTACACCGAGAAAAGCGCCGTGAAGGAGACATGGACGACTTTCTTTCGTAAGTGGCTGGTTTAAGTTGCATGAAAATCGTTGTTTTAATGTGGCTGTTATTTTGGAATGTACAGGTCGGAGTTGTCGGAAGTGGCAAGGAAAATAGAAGAGGAGTGGAGAGGTGAGGCAGAAGCCCGTGATAAATTACTGAACGATGTGAGAATTTCTCGATTGCAAAACATTTTACTCACTAATTTTAAGTAGACTATTCCATTTTCAATAGATTATTGCCGAGTGTCAAGAAAAGTTGACGAGTCGCCTGAAGGCATTGGCTTCAATGAGATGTGAACGAGAGGAGAAATATGCTAGACTGATGGACGAGATTGATGCTGCCAAAGAATCCTCTCTCGCCTGCCACCAACTGGAGAAGCGAAGTGGAGATGATTACCAACCCCAACTACCACTTCACATCAGTGAAAAGAACAATTGTTATTTGTACGATAGTGACAAGTTAGTTAGTAATTTTGAACCCGTAAATGAGGCCTCAAATTCGAAATGGATAGAGCCTTCAGTTCCAAATCACAGACGCAAGACTCAACTATGGTAGCGGTGGATTTTTATTATGCGATAAATTTGTAAAATTTATCTGTTAATAAAAGGTGCATTTATCCATTCCAGTTTATATTAGTTTTTCGACAGAATCGCATAAATCAACATTCTCTGACTTTATTATACTCCAAATTTAATCACTATCCATCGCCTATAATGGTCGCATTGTTGTCTAATGTCAAAGTAAATGGAATTAAATGGGCTTTCAATAGCCATTTAGTCACATCTTTGTCATTGAGTAATTAATATGCTGAATTATCAATTGATTAAACTAGAGTGAATGCAATAGGTAGCTCAGAAAAAAACGTGCATTTCTTCAGAAAAAAATAAGATAGTTCACAAACCTGGTTGATCTTGGCACTACAAACGCGCACTTGTCAATTAATCAGTGAAAGTGAAAATTTAATCACTTGCCTACGCGTATTTTGCCACCAATTTCATGTCCAATTTGAACCAGTGTGATTAAATATGCTACTTGAAGATATTCGAATCCACGGCATCCGATTTCGCCAGGTTGTAATTTGACCGCCACGCCCTGGGCATCTCAACTCATCGGCATTCCACTGTCCGACGAATTATCGTCATAGAGGTTATCTATTTATATCAAATAGCAGCCCTTTAATTGACATCAGGCTTTACAGAGGGGAAGAAACATCAAATTAAAAAAAAGTCGAGAGGGGGGGGGTACTGAATAGTGTTTCACAGATGTAAAGGCGACAGACAGACACAAAGGCGGAGAAAAAGGTAAGATGAGTACTGTGAAAGTGGTGGAATATGACATAGAGTGGGGTGATGGTAATTTGAAGTCATAAGTCAACTACCGAGTGGGGTGATGGTAATTTGAAGTCATAAGTCAACTGCTGAATAAAAGACTTTTTGCCGGATGAGTATACGTTGTCCAGGGTGCACCACGTGGAGGTAAGGTGTGAGTATACGTTGTCCAGGGTGCACCACGTGGAGGTAAGTCCATCGAACACCAATTATCATAGAATTAGGAGGCGTAGAGAGATCAGTGAAGGAGAAGAAAGCTGAAGTAATGGCGTATCTTCGTAAGTCCATCGTTTCATCGATTATTAGAGGAATCACTAATATTACTCCACTAAGTTCCTATATCATCATCAACATTATCATAAGATTTGGAGAATGAAATCTAATCATTCCAAAGTTACACATACTGATGGAAATTCTAGGCATGAACTTGTGAATACTCCTCCAGATTTAAAAGTAACCATTTACGTCTTCGTGGTTTATGACAATTGAAGGATTAAACATAAAAAATTATAGGTTTAACAGTCCTCAAGTATGACCTTTTTGCAATCATAAATTCTGCTAATTACAAATCATCAGATTGATACAACAATATTGTCCCCCCCCCCAAGAGGGGTGTGCGATAGACTTACCTCCACATGGTGCACCCTGGACAACGTATACTCATCCGGCAAAAAGTCTTTTATTCAGCAGTTGACTTCTGACTTCAAATTACCATCACCCCACTATATGTCATATTCGACCCCTTTCACAGTACCCACCTTACCTTTTCTCTGCCATTATGTCTGTCAATCACTTTTACACCTATGAATTATCATTCTATCCCCCCTCTCGACTTTTTCCACTTTGATGTTCTTCCTCCTTGGGGTGTGTGATAGACTTACCTCCACGTGGTGCACCCTGGGCAACGTATATTCATACGGCAAAAAAGTCTATTACATGGCAGTTGACTTCAAACCACCATGACCCCACTGTATGTCATATTCGACTACTTTCATAGAACTCATCCCACCTTTTTCCACTTTATCTACCTTCGTCTTCGATATACTCTTCTGTTACCAACCCCCCCCCCCCTCTATAATTTTTTTACACTTTGATGTTCCTTCCCCTCTGTGAAGATTGAGGTCAACTAAAGGGCTAATGATAACAATCAAAACGCCTGCCATTTGATATAATAATAATAATAATGTTCTTCCTCCTCTCTGTGAAACCCGAAATCAGCTAAAGGGCTAATGATAACTATCAAAGCGCCTGCCATTTGATATTAATAAGTAAACAATCCCCCAAGAACTTTTCTTGCACAGCTCATGCTCATGATTTGCATTTACCACCCTAAGGATCATTTCTAGGGTCCCTAATCCTTTAGGGATGTAACTTTTTCTTTACGTGATCAATTTATGACAAAGGTCAATTTGCCGATTTGAAGAAATAAAGGCAATTGGGTCTTATACTATCATTTGAACCCTCCAAACAAAGGCTTAATCTGCAAGTAAACGTGGAAATCAGAGCTGTGGAAAGTGCGTTAGGGGGTTAAAATCATGACTCTTGAATCCTGCAATTCATGAGGTGATAAAGTAAAATAGAGTTATAGCGATTAAGGTGCCTCAGATGAGTGGAATGGCTAACACCACCGACTGGGTGTGGGATAACAAAGTGAGGGTGACAGAATCTGAGCTTCCCTCCAAAAGAACTATGTTCAATGTTGGAGGTGCCATTCATGAAGAGGCTAGGAATAAAATGCCGGTATTTAGCAGTCTTCACTCAGCGATAGTATGCCACACCTGAGTCCCAATAGCAAGCATCACTAATCATGGCGACCCTATCTCCTAACTCCATTCATATAGGCACACTTTCAAACGTGTATTCAGTACAGTGAAATGGCTTCGCAGCGATTCGTTGACTCAGTAGCCTCAGTAAGTGGGGCTGGTTAGTTCATCAAGCTTGCATTTGAAGAGTATCCTGAAATAGGTACAAATTTGAATTCAAGGTCGTAAGAAAAAGAGGTGATATTTCTTGCTAGAATATCCAAGACTGAGATCATTTGAACTTAAGGCAAGAAGCTATTAAGTGCACTTTCAACCGACTCAAATAACCTAAGTGCATAGAGAACTACCTGTATTCTATACACAGCTCACAGCGTTTCTTGCCATGTGTGCACACCAGGACATGTTTTGATAATGAATGGATACACCGCTGCATACAGGTAATGACGTTGGGATCATCGAAACCCATTCATAGTGTCCTTTTCTATGGAGTATGTAGTATGCAAGTTGCTGAAAAATGATATCTTAACGCTCGTTAAGCTTCGAAACGAAAATTTTCGTTCAATTTAACGTTCGTCATGCGGGGGTGCGCAATAGACTTACCTGCACGTGGGGCACCCTGGGCAACGTATACTCATACAGCAAAAAAGTCTATTAACCGGCAGTTGACTTCTGACTTCAAATTGCCATCACCCCAAAACCGGCAGTTGACTTCTGACTTCAAACTACCATGACCCCCTGGGTAACGTATACTCATACGGCAAAATCTATTTGTGCGCCCTGGGCAACGTATACTCATATGGCAAAAAAGTCTATTACCTACGCCCTGGGCAACGTATACTCATACGGCAAAAAGTCTATTAATCGGCAAATTATTAGGATCAACCTAAAACGAAGCTATAAGAGAAATCGCCCTCGTCAGGGTGAATCACGACTTCTACAGGTCCTTCAGTGGAATGCTGGAGGGATGTCACAGGACAAGAAGATCCTGTCCAGAAAATCCTACAAACCTATGATGTAGACCTTTTCACAGGGGAAATCCTGCATACCTATGATATAGACATATTCACAATCATGGAAGTAAACCTTACGGACGAAAAACTCAAGAACTACCAATTCCCAGATTACACCTTATACCTTCTCCCTAAATAGCGGCAAGTTGCAAGTGGAATTCTAACTGGAATAAAAGAAGGCCTCACATTCCGATCTAATCAAGAGTATGGGCTCGACGCAAGATCACACAACGATCTAATCAAGAGCATGGGCTCAACGCAAGACATATTCGGAATAATCAGATTAAATGTTTGAAAATGTCAAAACCACATCAAGATATACGCAGTCTATAATTCACCCCTGAATAGTCACAACTTGATCTTCTTAACATCTCACACAAAACTGTAGCATTAGGAGACTTCAACGCCCACTCCACCAAATGGGGCTACAAGGATACAAACATAGCTGGAAAGGAAATTAAAGACATGCTAAACAGCAACCCTCTGGAACTTATTTTCAGCAATGAGGATCCGGCTACATATTTGCACTACAATGGAACCAGAACAACTCCTGATTTACTCTTGGCTTCAAGCGGCATCAGTGAGCATACACACCGCAAAATAATTGACGATCCTGGTTCTGGTCACAAACCAGTCATTGCTAGTATTACCATCGGCAGCAAAAGCATGACAAGGAAAATGCCAACTAAGCTATCATAGAACTTCAAGAAGGCTGACTGGCCTAGATTCACAAACCTTATAGAATACGAACTTTACGCAAGTCCAATCAACTACAGCCACCATCCTGACAAACTGTGCAACAATATCACAAATATTATGATCAGATGTGCAAAGAAAACTTTTTTCAGTGACAAGACTAAACACTATCGAGTGTTCTGGTCTAAACACCTTGAGAAACTGAAAATAAAGCGAGGCACCATTCGCAACACTGCTGAACAGACTGGAAGATTGGAATACGTACAAGCCTGGAGACGACAGTCAGCTGTCCTAAGGCAGGCCATCTTACAAGCCAAACGGACCACCTTCGTCAATTTCATCTCAAATATCAACTATGAAAGAGATAGCCAACGCACTTTCAAATTCTGTCACAAGCTGCACTCTTTTCAACGTCTTCGTCAGTGACATAGCCGAACTGGTACAAACAGTCACGAGCATCAAGTACCTACTTAATGCAGATGATCTTGTTCTACGGTATTTTGCCCCTAAGAAAACCGCTCAGGAGAGGACGGAAAGTACCCTAAATTATGCACTTAAACTACTAGCAAACTGGTGCGGCAACAATGGAATGGTCATCAACACCGCAAAGACTAAATTCCAAATATTTTCTTTGGTCCGCCACAGAATAAACATATAACAGCATAACAGCATAAGGCACAAGGATACTTCCCTAGAAAAAACTAACGAGTTCACTTATCTCGGAATGACGTTTGAAAAAAAACTAACATGGAAAAGCCACATTGCTAAAGTAGGAGAATGAATCTCCAATAGACTGAATGTACTGAAGCGTCTTGATGGTAGAATATGGGGCTGTGGACGCTCAACCCTAAACACCACTTACAAGATGTTTGTTGAACCACTAATGTTGTATTGCTGTGAAACATTCATTACAGCCAATGAGGTGACTCTCAACTCACTCGAGAAGTCGCACACCAAGGCTTACGACTTATTACTGAAGGGATGGAATTAGCACCCATTGATGCAATGCTCCTAGTTATAGGGAACACCACAATATGTTCCCTTATCAAAGAGAAGGCCTTGATCCTGTATGAAAAGCTACTGCGCTTTCCCATGGACAAATTTTTCAACACCTACGAAAATAGACCAAGAAACCTGAAAACGCAATCTAGTCCAATACAGAAAGCCATAGAACTGAAAAAAGAATTACAAATCGATGACAAGCCAAAAGCCTCTCTCTCTCTCCCCATGAACCCATTAGCAGACATTGATATAGTGTGTTGCACCCAACTGCTCGACTTCTTCAGGAAATCAAACACCCCTCCAGAGCAAATGCGCTCACTGGCCCTTGAGACAATCAATGTCAACTATCCTGGAGATCAATGGCTCCAAGTCTTCACTGATGGGTCATACATTGGAAACCAAGCAAACATTGGTGCAGGTGTCTATTCCAAACTCTTCTCTTTCAACGCAGGAGTGGAACACAATAGATCCGCTTTTGAAAGAGAAATAGAGGCCATTAGGATAACACTATGCCAATTATGTTGCCTGGATACGAAATTCACCAAAGCGGTGATACTTTCGGACTCACAGTCAGCAATAAACTCTATTGGAAACAGAGAGACACCCAAAACAGCTGAGATAAAGGAATGTAGAAAACTCTATGAGCTGCTGAGAGAGAAAAACAAAACAGTGGTCCTACAATGGATTCCTGGTCACTGTGGCATTAAAGGCAATGAGCTTGCTGACACACTTGCTAAGAAGGGGACAACGATTTTGCAATG